AGTGTGGGTGCACACAAAGACGCAACCTGATGCAATTCAATTAACTCGCGTGATCAGCAGTCAAACAAAAGCATTAAAGATTATTTCTTCCAAGGAGAATATTTCAATTTATAAAAAAAAAAGCTTCAATTACCGGTGGAAGTAATGTGGTGCAGTGCAGGTTAAAGCCATTAGAATATTATCCTCGAACACGCGAGGAATCAATGGCCCGGTCAAAAGAGCAAGAGCTCTGTCATACTTGAGTAGGGAGATGGGAGCTCACTCTCATTCTGTACATCTGTGGCAATCGCAAGAAGCAGATCGGGGCTGTGCTGGTTATAGCCTCGTGTTGCAACGCACAAAGCAGAGTGATCATTTTAATGGAAACTCTCCCTACGCATTTATCAGAGAGATAGAGGTGGCAGAATAGTGGAGACAACGGTTAATAATGGAAATAAATAAATGAATTTTCAATTCAAACACCTCTCGAGGGCTTCTGCATCCTCGAGGCTCACGGTGCTCAGTGGGTTACAGGTCTTACAGCACACGCTGGAAAGATGTGTCAATATCCCTGGACAAGCTCCCCTTCAAATAGCGGATTGTAGTGTGCAAATGATCCATGAAGCCGTCAATCTGGAGCATAAATATTCCCCGCCTGCAGCTGTATCTCATCTGGACCTCACTCACTCGGTAGATGAATGAAGCAATATAACTGGGAATCCTAGCTCTAATTTCTAGGATAATATAACTCCTGAATCATTCCTATGCGGTACCTAAAACAGTACACAATGCTCCATCTGAGGCTTAGCCCAAATCTTACACAAGTTCATCATTACCTCCTTGCTATTACAACAATAATAGTCCTTACTTTGGTGTAGCGCCCTTCATGTCAGGAGGATGTCTCGAACCGCTTCACAGGATATACTGAAAGTGTAGTAACTGTGTTTTGTGGGCGAGTGCAGCAGCCAGTTTGCACATAGTAATATCCCAATACTATAATATATTGTATTCAATGGGTCTAGATATAAAACAAGAGATTCTGCTTCCAATTTTCATTGCTTTATCGACCTGCTGTGCCACTGATTTACTATCTATACACCAAAGATCCTCTGCTCCCTTTAAAATCTTACTTTTTCTGCTTTTATTTTACCAAAAATGTAACTGACATTTTTTGGGGGTAGAAAATTGCATTTGTCACTTATCTGCCCTCTAAGTAGGTGTATTCTGTGGCCTTCTACAGCCTTTGTCAAACTGAACAATATTTCAACTGCCGTCTAACCAATACTTATACAATACCAACATAACTTTCCAACTTTTATATTCGACTTACAGATCTCAGCTCATCGTCTCTCTCGCTCTCACACACACTCTCTCTCGCTCACACACACACTCTCTCGCTCTCACACACACTCTCTCTCGCTCACACACACACTCTCTCGCTCTCACACACACTCTCTCTCGCTCACACACACACACTCTCGCTCTCACACACACACTCTCTCGCTCTCACACACACACTCTCTCGCTCTCACACACACACTCTCTCGCTCTCACACACACACTCTCTCGCTCTCACACACACTCTCTCGCTCTCACACACACTCTCTCGCTCTCACACACACACTCTCTCGCTCTCACACACACACTCTCTCGCTCTCACACACACACTCTCTCGCTCTCACACACACTCTCTCGCTCACACACACGCTCTCGCTCTCACACACACACTCTCTCGCTCTCACACACACACTCTCTCGCTCTCACACACACTCTCTTGCTCTCTCACACACTCTCTCGCTCTCACACACACACTCTCTCGCTCTCACACATACACTCTCACACTCACTCACTCTCACCAGGACTCTTTGGTTTGGTTATTAATCTTTTTACATGATATTGGATGAAAAGCCATGTGAAAGACCAACATTCGCTGCGTTCCCCTTATCTACGCTGACGTATTCACTCAAAATATTTAATTTGATTTACCACAATCTGCCCTTTGTACTCTCTGTGCTGTCTCTGATCAATTTATCCTTCTCCGGATGCTTATCAATGATTTTCCTTTAAAATTGGCTCTGCCACGTTAAGCCTCTGATGTGAAACTAACTGGCCTGTAGTTCCCAGGATTATCTTGTTCCCCTTTTCTGAATTATGACATGACATCCGCCACCCTCAGAACGCTACCTGAACTTAAGGACTTCCTTAAAAATGTGAGTCAGAGAGAGCTTCCACAACTTGGTCTTTAACCTCACTCAGCACTTTGGTATCAAACCCACCTGGCCCTGACCACTTGTCCTCTTTAAGTTCCATAAACCTCTCATCTACCACTTATTGGTATCTTTATCTAATCGCTTCACATCCATTTCCACACCTCCCACTACCTCCCCATCTCCCTGTGCTGCAAATTACAGATGCAAACAACTTATCTAGTCTTTAGCACGTACACTATTTCCTTATTCTCTACAATCCTTTTGCCCCCTGTATCCCTGAGCAGTCTCACACTTTCCTGATTATCCTCTTACTATAACATACAATTATGCATAGATACGCATAAATTCCTTCAAAAATAAACAAAAATAATTTGGTCACTCAATTCCCGACTGTTTGCGGGACACTGCTGTGCACAATTGGCTGGCGCATAAAATATGCAGTCCAATTCACTTTACAGTATACTCTGCGAAGCGCTTTGAGATGTCTCAAAGACGCGATAAGGCGCTGTATCAAATGCAAGGATTATTATTATTATTCTTTATGTGTCTACAAAAATCTGGGTTTATTTTCCCTTCTAGTCCTTTTTAAATCCATAGAGCAACACAATCAGAACAATATTTCCAAATGTGCCAAGGCAACAGGATAAGAGGGCACAGTGTCGGGGTTGGGAAAGGCAAATTTAAGACCTATTCCGAGAAGAATTTCTTTGTACGGAGGGTAATTAATAGCTGGAACAGGTTACCAGCAAAGGTGATGGAGGCTGGGATGCTGGATCCATTTAAGAAACAACTTGATGTGTAAAGGGAGATCGTGGCGTTAAATGGCGTTACTTGTTTAAATCTGATATACTAAATGCACGGTGTACTGCGTAGACACAGACGTGGTGAGAATGTGGAGTTCACTGCTGGAAACTGGTTGAAGCAGAAAGCAGCAACATATTTAAGAGGAAACTTGATACGTACGGGAGGGAGAAAGGGGGGTGGTGTCAGCTCCTGTGGAGTATAAACATGGCACGGATTAGTTGGGACCAAATGCTGTTTCGATCCTGGAACAGTCTATGTAATTCTACGGTCAATTTAACTAAATTACTTTTCCTCTCCCTCCCTCCCCCTCCCGCCCGTCCATCAGAATCACTTGCTCATATCCTCTGTATCAATATATCCATCATACAGCAGACAAAGCCCTTTTTTTCGGATGGTGGGTGGGGGGTGGGGGTGGGAGGAGTGGGGGTGGGCGGTGGGGGAAGAGGGAGAGAGAGCAGTGGCTAAAATGTCCTTGAGCTGGAGCAGAATTCCGATCCAGTTAAAACCACCAGATTGAAAATAACTCCACACCAGAGCCGTCTAAAGACGCAGAGGGTTACATCAGCAGCTCATGAATGCAAGGGGTACAATTTTCTTCACATCTATTCATAGCTGTCTGGTCACACTGACTCCTGTGAGCTAGGATTACACCAGTTACACGTCAGCTTTTTTTCTTTTTTTGCTCAACTGCCAAAGAGAGTGGTTCACTGAAGCATTTCTAAAATCCTCTTTACAGGTGAAGTTAACCTCAACCCTTACTTTATCTGATCGGCTGTAACCGCACTGCACACCTGGGCCAATGTTACTCAGGCAATGGATGCTACGTGCTGTACAATGGAACTGGCTCAGACCATAGCACTCTCACCTCTGGGGCAATCCAGTTCCGTTTTAACGTCTCACCCCGAAGGACGGCACCCCCGACAATGCAACTTGCCCCCTCAGCGCTGCATTGGGGTGTCACCTGAGACGGCACACTTCCAAGTCCCTTACCTGGGTGGGGCTTGAACCTGCAGCCGTCTGACTCAAGAGGTGATAGCGCTACCACTTGGAGCTCTCCCAAGCCAGGTATAAGGGCTGCACTAACAATGATGACTGAATGGAAACATGAGACGCTGCCTGCGATCTGAGGGCCCCCATCAATAATAATAATTCGTATATTCGATATATCACCTATAAAATCAAAACATTTCAAAACTTCACTGGAAACTGCTGTCGAGTGTAGTGACTCAAGTGAAGGCCCACCATATGAATCCACGTGTTTTACACCTTGCCCCATAGGCACTGGGAATATCAATGTTGTCTGTCCTGTCTACAGGTTACATCTCGAGAGAAATTAAACCAGTTTACATCATTCACAACAAGAGGAAACTTGGGGCGATAGTTACTGACTCACTTTTCTCAGGTGACTTGTCTTCGAACACTTTTGGATTGAATGATTCTACTTGACTGCAATGGCAAGGCATCCTCTTTATTCAGGGTTGAGTAGAAGTGAAAACATGGTCTCAAACCTCTGAAAAGTACAATTTAATTGGTTTAATGCTCTCCACCCAGTCTCCAGATCAGTTAGCAGGAAAGGCATATCATGTGTTACAACACGCTGCCTGGGAAAGTGGGTCAGGCAATAGATGGGCAGGAAATGACAATCCTTCTGGCTGCCCAAATTCTGAATAAGTATCCTTGGCAGAGTTTCAGGAGCACTCCGCCCATTATTAGTGCTCTTTACATAAGTACAAATCACCAACAAAATAGACCAATGCAGGAAGGTGGCAGTGGGGTGGTGGGGGAGGGGGTGAGAAACAGAAGTCAAGTGGTGCTAATTAAGTTACACAAAACAGGTTGGGGACAATACACTCGACATACGAAGAGAGACCGGCTCAGGCCAGCTCATTTGGTGTTTTTTTTTCCCTCCACTGGAAATTCTGTGCAGGAATTTCTGCGTAAAGCAAATCAGTAATTGTATGCACGCGCTCACGCAGTGACAAACACTAAATATGACTTGGGACAAAACACATTGAAACGGTGAAGTTTATTTAATCTTCAATTCAGCAGCTCACCCTGAAAACTGGAGGCTGCCACTTTTAATAGTGTACATTCGTCAATATATAGTATATATACCTTCACTGGAACCTCACTGGATCCCAGAATCTGTGAGATAAGACAGTCAGCAGGAATAGTCAGTGATCTGGGTAAGGTTTTTAAATCCCCATTTACATCTACAAAGGCTCTGCCAAACCGCAGCCCTGAAATAATACCGGTCCACGCAGAGTAAACATTGATCCGATCAACTGGATAAGAATTCAAACTCTCTACAGCCAGAGAGAGAGAAAAAAACCAGCAATATTTCATGCGCTGGATCGAGCGATTTCAGAACAGGTGATTTTGTTGGGGAGAAGAGAAAATCAATAACAGAAAAGAAAAAATCTCGGAAGAAGTTCGCAGAATACAAACAGCCATCACTGAAAGAGATTCGATATCATGTTTCCTAGCTACAAAATTAAGTTTTTCTTGCAATCAAACCCCAATCATTCATTTATTTACATAGTGTATGTCCTAGTTGTTGCAAGCTTCATCTTAGGTGGATTATAGTCAATCCCCCAACTCCCATATGTAATGATTTGGTGGAGCAAACGCCTATATATGTAGTGATTTAGAGAGTGAAGTGGTTCACGTGTAGTTGGTTGTTGTCTCAATCCTCAGTAACACTCGTTCCTCGCACCTCACCATGGTGTCGGAGCTGTGGAGCAGAGGAAAGGAACAATTAGACATTTTTGCCAAATAATGTTGTTTTTAATGTGCAGCACGGTACACTTTCGGGGGACGACGACAGGCTATTCTTTTATACCAGTTAGACTTCGAATGGTGCCTGCAATGGTTCCATCCAGTAGGAATCATTCAATGCAAAAAAATTGCAGCAAACTTTTAAGACTTTAAATATACTGACGTGCGATTGAAGCTCAGTGCTCAAAGTGCTGAATAACACTAACACCTCTATACAAGTCACCCCTGATAATAAGAATAATCTTATTAATAAGAACTCAAAAAGCTTCACGGGAAGTCACATCCAACAATGCATCTTACCCCTAGCAGTGCACTGGGTTGGAGTGTCAGCCTAGAAGATTATGAGCTCAAAGCCCCAACATGGGGATTGAACCCACAATCCTCCGACTCAGAGGCAAACGCGTTACCAGCTGAGCCAGGCTGACACCCAACTGATTCAGACCGTGAGAAGCAGAGCATTGAGGCCGTACTGTCAGGATTGCACACATTTAGTTTGATGGGTGCAATTCATAGATCAGTGTTAGATTCCCATCCCTATTGCCCTGACACCTGTCGGTTTTTCCCATTCCTCGGTTAAGATAACGAGAGGTTTGAGAGGATAAAGAGCGAGGGAACTATTCCTGCCGATAGGTGGTTCAAGGACAAAAAAAAAGGTGTGTGCATTTCAGATTAGAAGTGGGAGTGTGAAAGGGGAAGTTACAAATAGTTTAGTATCCCAGAGTTTTCGGAATACGATTTGCTCATGTGGGCGCTTGTTAGAGCAGAGACGATTAGGGGGAGTTTAAAAGAGAATAATAATAATAACAATTGCCTTTGATATAGTGCTTTTAATGTCATTGAGATGTCTCAAATCGCTTCACAGTAAAGTGCAGTGACTAAAGTGTCTTGTGGGCGAAACGCGGCAGCCAGTTGCACAACGCAATGCCCTACAAACAGCCGCGGAGTTTATCTGGGGGAATTGTTGGCCAGGAAACCAGGAGGAGCTGCCTCCTCTTTTCGAACAGTGCCACATGAGCTTCGACGTAGACCTGAGCAGACAGGAAGGGTTCAGGGAAAGAGCACAGAATTGTGATTGGGACAGGTGACAGCATTGCAGGAGCAAGAGTAAACTAACGGGTGAAATGATCTCCGACTCCTCAAACCCCCTGATGGCCTGCCTTTTTCTATCTTGCACGTAAATCACACGGGGCGGATTCTGTTAATAGGCCCCGACTGCCTGCCAGAGAACACAGTACCGATTTGGAAATTGCAAATACCCCGAAGCAAGTTAACTCATTGCTCAGCTGTGCCTAAGTAGGGGATTGAGTTGCTGCTGATCCGATTCCACCTGGCTCTGCACGCAATCAGGCGTTTCCCAGCTGCAGCTGAAAGGTGCCTCCAGTTAACAACTTATAAATTTTTGAGTCGAGGCAACGACGGAGCTGGGACGAACGCAACCATCTCAGCTGTGGCGTTGGCCGTGACTGTGCAGCACTCTCGCGGCAAACCAGGCCAAACTATGTTTCGAACAGAGTCCGAGCAAGCCCTAAAACTAGTTATTCACAACGCTCCCCTCCTCCCACAATAAGACTCAGTCCCTCCGCCCCGGGGTCATTAAGCAAACACACTTCGGTAACCAATGTGCAACAAGACTTCTCAAACTTCAGTAACTCGGAGGTGTGACGGTTATAACGTGAGCAATTCACAAAGAGTCAAAACAACGTGTGAAGATTTGCTGTGAGCACAATCTAAACAAAGGCAACCTTAGTCAAGCTGGTGTCCAGGTGGAATGGGAATAAAAAAACAATTTGAATCAGAGACCAGACAGGGGGGGGGAAAAAAAACCTTCAGATTCTACATTCATTCCTTCGATGCAATTGGATACTTATGGAAAACATGGTCTTGAGAGTTTTGTTTAACCAAAGTAGGCGTGGGTTAGCTCTGCTTTCAGTTACTCTATTGCTCGATAATCAGCAGTGCAAGAAAACCATTAGCGAGCTCAACAGTGAACCAAAAACATCGTCATTTAGGAAAGCCAGAGCCCACTTTAAGAACATTAACATATTTAAGAAGAACCTTGGCGCACACGAGAAAGAGGGGACTGTTGACGACTAAAGTGAGTTTGAGATCCTACAGATGTCTGACACGGCAATGCAATTGCTTGGACTCTCAACACACTGTGCCCTGGCCTGGTACAAGAGCTCAAATGGGATTGAAATTGAGAACTGATATCACAAAGGTGTTGCACGGAAATCACTGCTGTAAATCGAGCCCTTCACCCTGTTTCAAATCGACCGCCTCACCTGTAACTCTGCATAAATCCCGCCTAAACACCTTCCTCTCTGATCGTGCTTCCGGTCATCTTCCGCCTCCATCTCATTGCCCGGCTCGGAGTCAGACTCCGCCACTGTCCTTCGCTCCGGGACTCTACCCCTCGTGAAGGGCGCTATGTAACTGCAAGTTGTTATGGTTGTAGTGGTGCAGTCATTTCACGATCAGAATGGGGATGTTAGGGTGAGAAAGGAGACCCTGAGCAGACGGAACACGCAGGAGGAAAGGTTTGGGCTCAGCTGCTTCCTTCACCCTCAAGTCAAATGAAGTCTGACTTGGGCAAGATATTGGAGAGTTATCGTGGACTTGTGGAACAATGCTACAGCACATGTCTGTGCCTTCAGAGGAGAGAACATCGGGAAATAATAATAATAATAATAATAATTATCCTTGCATTTGATATAGCGCCTTATCACGTCTTTGAGACGTCTCAAAGTGCTTCACGGGATACACGGCAAAGTGTAGTGACTGTGCTATTTATGGGCGAAACTCACCCTGAGAAGCAAAACTGCATCTAAATTCTTAACTTCCTGAGTAAACTGGTCCATTGCAAGCTCCGCTTGGCACATCGATCCCACCCTCTACCCCACCCAACTCCTGACACTCACTTCAAACGGAGCCTCGGGTTTCCGAGACAAGTCGTGCTTGCGACAGTAGAAACTGGTTTGAATTCCTTGTCCCGAGATTTCCGCAAAAAATGTGAGACATTTTAAAAGTTTTGCTCTGTTTCTAAACATTTCCAAACAAAACACATTCTTAAATGATCAAAGCGTCAGAGAGAGAGAGGGGGAAAGGAGGAGAGGAAGAGAGAGAGAGAGAGAGAGAGAAGTGGAGGAGGAGAAAGAGAGTGAGAGAAAAAGTCTGAAAAATCCAACATCTGAAAAGGTCAAACAAGAAGTGAAAAAGACAGAACGAGTCAAAGATCGGAATTAAAAACAAACATCTTAGGCCTGAAGTATGTGAGGCCTCAGTGCTGTACATTTATACCATCACATTCCAACTCGGATAAACAAGAAAACTCGGTTTGCCAAGTAATTTTATGCTTGAATCAGGATTTCGATAAACTGCAAATTTAAAACAACACAATTTGCAGCCCAGTTAATCATGTAGTTTGCAGCTTAGCCTAAACACAGAACTCTCAAAAGACAGTCTCATCAAACGTTCCCAACGCAGTTTCGCAATTGTCCTGACTCGCCGAAGTTTGGCAAAAGGTGGCCTGGAGTATGGAGCAACCGAGATAAATCCAAGACACCCTTGCTCCTAGGTCAGTAATGGTGCCTTCATCCCTCCACACTCCTCTGTTTCCCTAGCAGTAAGCAGGAACCCGGTGGTTAGTCGATTGGCGGATCGCTTTTCCGGGAGCAATAATCCCTTTTTAAATCAAAATCGAGTCGCTCAATCCATGACTGTTTGTGGGGACGCTGCTGTGCGCAATTGGCTGCCGCGTTTCGCCCACAAAATATGCAGTTACTTCGCTTTACGGTGTGTTCTGTGAAGCGCTTTGCGGCGTCTCGAAGATCCGATAAGGCGCGATATCAAATGCAAGGATTATTATAGTATTATTATTATTATTGCTATTAGTGTTGTTATAACCACCGCCTTCCTACCTCATCAAGCTCCCTCTTTGTCTCGTCCTCCATCCGTCGGATATCGTCCATGGTCAGATCCACCCACCTGTCGATCCAGCAGAAAAGCTGACGGTGGAAGTTAGTGAAGATCCGCCTCTCTTGCTGAAAGAAAGCACGTTTGCCGGGTTTAATAACACTGCTAACAAGCACTCCGGGATACTATTCCGGGTGAAGGGGGCTATATAAAGGCAAGTTGTTGTTGTTCATAATGTGGGGGGAGTGGGTGGGGTGGGTGTTGGGGGGGAAATGCAATGTGTTCAGGATGAGAGGATGGTTACTGAAGCTGCAATATTTCAGGTCAGGGGTTCAGATGTGGAATCTCTGAAGAACAGTGTAATAATCCCTGCAAAAAAAGAAAAATGAATCATTTGGTCACTCAATCCACGACAGTTTATGGGAGGCTTTGCCCACGATATACACAATCAATCCACGTCACAGTTTGATCTGTGAGGCGCTTTGAGACGTCTGGAAAACGTGATGAGGTGCGGTGTCAAATGCCAGGGTTATTATCATCTGCTGGAACCCGCCCACCCACCAGCAAGCGGCTGGGCACGAGAGGAGCATCGGCAGAGACCTCTGACTCCGAGCAAGTCGTCTGCCTGCTGCTGCCCCGACAGGGGAAGAAGCCAGATCAATAGCCGGCATTTAGAAATGTTGCAATTATTCTCCGGGTGAGACCCTACCTTGTGAATCATGTTTTCTATTCTGCTCTGCAGGCCCCACCATTTGAACTTCACAGTCACGAGCTTGTACGCGCACATCCGAGGACTCTCGGGGTCACTGGCCAGCTCTTTCTGTTGGAACAGGACGGAAAATAAAACGCTTATTAATTCAGCAGCTACGTGCAGACGAAAAAAAATCCAAAAAACCACGGTATATTTTGCTTCTCAGCGACTGACAAGCCCCTCACCTTTGCTCTCTGTGCCCTAGCTCCCTGCCCTGCACTTCCCCTGCAGTTATTGTCCACATGATTCCAAGTATTGAATTACTGCAAAAACTTCTCCCCTTCGCAACTTCGCTTGTTCTTAAATCAGATTTCAAACTTGCTATTTACCCAGGCTTTCTTGCTCTTTCGTCTCTGCTTCCCTTCCCTGGACTCTGCCATTCTAAGTCTCTGATCACCTTCCACCTCTGCTATTTCAAGCCTGTCACTACCTGACAAATCCCCACCCGCCCCTCACTGTCTCCCCTCTCTACCGCCCTAGGCCTCTCCAAACCTCTTTTGCTTTCTCGGTCTCAGAGCATCTTCCTTGTCCTTGGAGCTGCAGGACAACGATTTGCAAACTTTGTTAGCTGAGTAGCCCAAGTGGGTCAGCCAAGGTGGCTCGCTGCACAAATATCTGCTAAAACTGGAAAAACATGGAAGCCGGAGGAGGCCATTCAGCCCCTTGAGCCTGCTCCGCCGTTCTATGAGATCACGGCTGATCCCGACCTCAAATCCTGTGGAGATGAGAATGTTACACACAACACAGAAAGGGGGGCAACACGCAACTCAAGGAATCAATCTCTTTTTAGAGATGTTAGAGATGTTTATAGCCATCACTGGTTAGAAATTCCTCACTTGGCATGAGTGCAGGGTGGCTATCCCCTTCTGAAGCTCTGGATCACTCTTCCTCTATCCCTCCGCCTTGCCCCTTCCTTCCCCTGTATACAAATAGCCATGCAAATGCAAGTTGTTGTTGAAGCCTCTCCCACATCAATTCCACGGAGGCAGAGTTTTGGGAGATTTGGTTACAACACGAAAACCTAACAGGCCACAGGTCCAACATCCAGTATGCCAACACTGCCTCCACCGGCCCAGAGTGCCGCAATCTCCCGTCGAATTTCCTCTCTGGCTGCTGAATTTATGAGGCATGTTACTGGGGAATTTACGCTCCTGATATCAATTTTCTCGTACAACACAACACCCATTTGATTCTGATCACCTCAACAACTTCCTTATGTTCCGAATACAAAAGTAACTTGAGGATGCCAAGTAAATCAGAACATTCACCAATATCAAATTCTTCACGGTCAGCCAAGAAATTCTCAGATTTAATAGGATTGGATTTGTCCTTCGGAGCGAGCAGAACGGCCAGTTACAGTGGTCCCTGGGTGTGTGTGTGTGTGCAGCTGACACTGCTTAGATGTACGGAGCAGGGGTGGTGCTCCAATATCTGCTTTCTGCCCCATGTTTTTTTTATATATATATATATACATACGTGTGCAGGACCAGAAAGATGGCTTTAACCCCTTCAGAATCGAGACTCCTCGTAAATCCTCAAAATCATCTCATTCGCTGCGTGGCTTGTGCTTTCGCGATCCATCGGTGTGCAATTGGGTCCCCGAGTTTCGCCCACGAAACAAACAGTTAATTCACTTTACAGTATATTCCGTGAAGCGTTTGGAGACGTCTCGAAGACGTGATAAGGCGCTGTATCAAAATCCAGGGATTATGATTACTATTATTATTATTATCGTCATCTTCTAAACACCCATTGGGATTGCTTTAAGTTTATTCATGCATCAACCAGTGGTTAAGTGCTCCAGGACGCTACCCTGTGTGAAGGGCGCTGTACAAATGCAAGTTGTTGTTGTTGGTGGTTTATGGCTCCTGTCCGAGCCACAACTTGCACATTCCTAAACGCCTGCCGACAAAACACACAGTCACTATATTTTTTGTTGGGGGGTGGGGGGGGGGGGGGCGGGGGATCAGCTGGATGTCTGATACACGTGGAAACCTATCACCGTTGCTTAAGAGTATCCAAACCAAGCTGGGAATTCCATGCATCCCATCTACAGACAGAAGTCCCAGAGATAGATTGTTGGAATGAAACACTCTCTCTCTCTCTCTCTTTCTCCTTGGAGGGAAGAATCCTGTTTAATTCTGGAAAGTATTAGGCGCAGGTTGGCAAGAGCCAAGGCTTGGGGACCTCAGAGTGTGCGTGCGTTGGGGTAACTGCTGGAGTCTAACCAGCTAAAAGCTCTTAGCTTGCCATTGATATTGCTGTCTGGCAGGCCTTCCTGCTGCTTGTCTCCCTTGGACCCGCTAGGTCTTTGGCTTGCAGGGTTAACAAGAGCTGAGTGGGATGATTCCCTGCCCCCAGTGACCGGTCTGCTCTAAACACATGATGTGGTTTCTGGTACCAGTGCCACGCTTCATTAGAAAGGTTTTGGTAACACTAATGCTATTGATACTGTTTACTCCAAAGCCAGAATTTGTATCTAGAAACAAATGAAATATTTTTCGGAGCGGTGGGGAGTGGGGGGAAGAGGGAACAAGTAGAGAAATACAGCTTTAAAGGTAATCATCTCTGAAGCCAACAAGCACAGCACGGTGTGTGTGGGGTGGGGGGTGGGAGCGAGAGGGAGAGAGAGGCAGAGAGAGAGAGAGAGAGCGCAAGAGGAGGAGTTGATCATCTTGTGTAGACAAGGCTTTGTGAAGCTTAACAAGGGGAGGCATTGTGCTGCCACTGAAATGTGGATGAATGTTTTGTCAACTCTCCATCCACGAGGTTAGGCTGCAGGTGGATCATTTTCACGGTTTCTCTCTGCAGCAACTTTGGAATTAGTTCGACAGCAAATAGTGCAGAAGATTACGGCACCAGGTATGATGAGGGAGGGAGGGAAGGAAGGAGAGAGGGAGGGAGGGAGCTGCTTTTCTGCAGCAGTATAGCATTCCCGGGCTGAAACCCAGATCAGGTTTCAGTACGCTAGTGCACCTTAGAGCTTTCTGCCCCTAGACTGGGACTGCTGTGCCTCAAACAGGGTCAGCCTTCCACTAGGTTAGCAGACGTTTTCCTGCTATTTATGCCTCTCACTTTCAGATGGAATTCAAAGACGTGGTTCATGTTTTGATTTTTACAACAGGGATCGGGTTGCTTGGAGTAATATAAAAATAACCCTCGAGCAAGAGACTGGATCCTCTTGACAATACCAAACGGTAGAGACTCTTTGTTGTCTTGCTAGGCAACAGGTACAATCAATCTTCAGTCTTGCCATGGAGTAGGTTCATCCAGGTGTGTCCGAGTCTGGACACATTTATTTTCTCTCAACTCTCCCCCACCTCTCCCCTCCCATCGCTGTGTGCCCAAGACTGGGTATCAGGACATGATTACTAACTAAATAATAATAAATGATCCTTGCGTTTGATACAGCGCCTTATCACGTCTTCGAGACGTCTCAAAGCGCTTCACAGGATACACTGTAAAGTGAATTAACTGTGTATTTTGTGAGCAAAATCTTAGTTACTACTGGATATCAGGACCTGAACACTAACTAAATTGTCGACACTTACTGAATCAGCTCTGAAGTTCCGTGAGTCAGACACCAGCACTGCTATGTCTCATCAAGTGAATTTCAGCATCTAATTATCATGACCAGATCTGCTCCACAACTGACATCTATTAGAGTTCCTCTGTCTGAATTGGTTCAAAAGCAGTCAGGTAAAAGCACTGGGAGCAATGCTGCAGGAGCACACTAAGCCACACGTGAAACATTACAGCACGTTTCAATACAGAAGTAGTCAATTTAGTCCATTAAATCTATGCCACTACTGCCTGTGGCAGCCTCTTACTTTATTAATCAGCCTCTTACTTTATTAATCAGCCTCGTACTTTATTAATCAGTTTCTTACCTTAATAATCCCACTCTTCATCTCGATCCCACATCCTCTAGTGTTTTTACTTTCCACCTGTTTATCCAGCTCTTTTCTGAACTCTTCCATTGATCACCCTCAATAGCCACTGCGGTAATGAATTGCAAACCCTAATGCTCTGAGTAAGGACATTTCTCCTCATCTCTCCCCTAATTTTTCTGCTAGGAATTTTGAGTCTATGCTTCCTTGTCACTGATTCGATTTTCCTCTCTCTATCCCGCCTGTCCCTTCAGTGTCTTGAACAACTCTAATATCCCCAGTCAATCTCCTCTGTTCCAGGTGGATTAAAAAGACCCAATTCTCATATCTGGCATCAACCTAATGAATCTGCTGCAAACTCCAGCCTCTTTGATGCACTTGAAGAGCAACAACAACAAATTGCTCTGTTGAGGAGTCCTGTAGCTCAGTGGTTAAGAGCACTCGCCTTGCAAGCAAGAGACCTGGGTTCGATTCCCGACAGGGCGAAACCTCAGGCAAGTTTCCTTACTCTACACTCCTGCTAATAATCCCTCAAGAAAAAAAAACACTAATAAAATTGGTCACTTCAATCCACGACTGTTTGTGGGACATTGCTGCGTGCAACTGACTGCTCCATTTCGCCCACAAAAAATACAGTTAATTCACTTTACTGTGAAGCGCTTTGAGACGTTTAGAAGATGTGATAAGGCGCTATATCAAATGCAAGGATTATTATTATTATTTTATAGTGCCTTTCACATCGAGAGGACAACACATACCTCCATAGAAGCAGTTCAACCCAACACTTTCAATCTCTGAATTTAACCAACATTTTTAAGCAATGTCCCCACCACAGAGAGGCCTTTTAGGAGAGGGTGCAACAAGTTCATACCCTGACTACAAAAAATAAGGAGCTGTGGTTGTTCAGACTTGCATCAGAGCAGAACACACAACACTGAGCTAAGAATCGTATAAAATGCTCCAGTATTATTATTCAAGGCTCACAGTCTAAGACCACACTCCAACGCAGTTTAAAGTGAGGAACTCTGCATTTTCAGAGGTGCTGCTTTTCTAGTGGCTGATGAGCGAGAAGTCGTGACACTGGACTCTTGTCATCTAAGAAAAGAATGTTCAAATAAACTGCAAACATCCCACATTAAAACTCTTTGGTGGAAACTCTAAAATCTAAAAACCTATGAC